CTGTAGTCCTCGAGCTATAATCCGGGGTTTGTCTCCTAGAGTATTTTGGGATAATGGTCGATGGTCGGTACCTTGGTGGGAAAGTAGCGTTGAGGATGTGATGGCCGAAGGCCTGAGGGCCCAGTAGGCCAGGGCTCGGGCTTTGGTCCTCACCGTTGTCATAGCGTCCGCCACGATGAGGATGATAGCCACGGTGGGCTCCTTCTCTCAGGTCGCCATAGGTACGTCTGTGGGCGTCGAGAGTGCTGCGTGCGTCGCGGTTACAACCGAGACGCTGATGCACCGGGACGATAGTGGCACGCTGCCTACCGCCCTGTGGTGCCTGGTGGACCGACGCATCCCTACCGGGATGCCTAGAGGGTGTGCGCTGGCTGGCGTCGAGCTCACGTCGCCGAGACAACGAGCTCTCTGCCTGCTGTGCCGCCGCACGCTTGAGCAGCGTGCGAATCTCGCGATGGGCCTGACGATGATCCTCGGGCGTCGCGGCCTCTGGAAGGCCATGGAGCAAGGCTATCGTGGTGGCGATGTTCTGGCTCACCCGGGCGAAGCGAGGAAGGGCTTCATCGTCAGCGATGATCCTTTAGTTTACATCATGGGCCATGGCGCGTGCGCGCCCACCGTCTCCGCAGCGCTCGATCTCCCGATCGAGCTCGCTCATTCCTGCACAAGCTAGAGTCGTGCTTCCTCGATCTCCCGCTGTCGGGCTTTCAGCTACTCCACCCCCATGTGAGGTGGGGTGGCTATCTCCCCTTTGGTTTCATCGTCGAGGTTGCCCGCCGCTGGGGTAGCCTCCTCCGTGAGGACGCTTTTGACATGTCCCTCAGGGGTGCCCGTCATGAAGCATTCCCGGGAGGGGTGATGGCTCTCCCTGCTGGAGTCAGAGCCAGAGGATGACCCCGGCTCCTCTGTGAGGAGGTTGTGGAGAGATTCCGTGATGTGTTTGATCACCCCCATGAACTCGTTGTTCGCGGGGTAGGATCATGCGTCGTGCCACAAGATGGCTAACGGTCGCCGCAACGTTGTGGAGACCGAACGAAAGCGCTTATCGGGTGCTCCGTATGTGGTGTTCCGGAGAGAGGGATCCTCCTCCAGCAAACCATGCCATGTTGTTGGCGGCATCGGAAAGGGTGAGGCGGCGCTGGTTCTCCCTAGACTGTTGGGTCCCAGGGAGATACCGAGCTGGCGCTCAAGCCTCTCGTGGTTGAGGCCGATGGAGGGGAGAGATTGGATGGCGGCGTGAGCCAATGCCAACTCTCCTCCCACCGTGATGATGAAGTCTAGATTTCTGAAGCGCACGTGTGCGCCCGGGACCCAGCTGATTCCGTGGCTAGCCATCCGTGGCCTGATGTTTAACGTCGGAAATAAAGGTCCCCTACCTAACGCGATAAATGTCGGTGTTTCAAGTAAACACCAACTAGTAAATTTGTATTTGTTGCGCGTTAGGGTCGGATGGTGTGCTAAAAGACACGAGGTTTATACTGGTTCGGGCAGAATGTCCTTACGTCCAGTCCTGCTGCTGCTGCTCGTGTTATTAACACTGAAAGGTTCGTAGTAGGGGGTACAAATGGTCGAGAGAGCGACGGGTCCCAAGTCTCTAATGGAAAGGTCGAATGAGTACTAAGAGCTCGGTTGCTGCTCAGCTATGTGTAATGTAAAGCGTGGTGTGTTGAATTGATCCATCCCCTTAGTGGGGTGCCCTGCCTTCCCTTTTATAGATCAAGGGGGAGCAGGGGTTATAGATCGGAGAAAGAAGAAAAACCAGAGGCCAAGAAGGTCCTTTGAAGGTGCCGAGTCTTTCTTTTCCTCTGAGCCAGCCCTGCTCACATGGCAGACGGTGCCAGGGATAGCACGTTCGCTGATCTTGATAGGGCCGTGCTCTGGCTTCGTTCAGCAAGTCGTCACGTCCCATCCTGCCCCCGCGGGCGGCGCGACGCACCAGGGTGCCTAGCCACGACCCTACGGGGAGTAGACGGGAAGTGACCATACGTCCATATTGTAGATGATGTGAGTTCCCTCCTGGATCATAGTGGTTGTCGTATGCTTATGTCAGGATCCGCATCCGAGGGCTGATGGCGGCGCCCACAACACTGTAAGACAAAAATCGGTGCCTACAACACTGTTTGGGCTCTGTCATGCCTGGAAGGGCTTAAAAGCGCTCGTCCCGTCATATCCTGACGGTACTTTCCCATAAGCGTGTAGGGTATGGTCCTCGGTACTGCGGTTGACTCGAGTGTCCTGTCTTACCCTGTGCTCGTCGTTATGAAGGAGCAGGGTGCGAACGTTGGGCGAGGCGGAGCTAGCCCCCAGACGTCGGGCGAGGCGGAGCCTACCCCCAGACGTCGGGCGAGGCGGAGCCAGCCTCGGGGGCCGGGCGAGGCGCAGCCAACTTTCGGTCGTATGGGCAAGAAGTGTATGCGTTGTTGCTTGTTCGGAAGCATCAACGTTTGATGGCTATTAGCTCTACCTCTTTGAGTACTCAGTATTTGGCCTGCGACAGAATGCAGGACTAGAGTTGGTGGAGCGAAAGGTGAGATGACGATGTCGTTAGAAAACATATCTTTCAACCAACAGAGGGGAATTACACACGCATCTCTGGCCCTTAATGATTTGATTCCGGTGAACGCCGTACCGTGTTAGTGGCCCTAAAAGCCAATTTCTGTTGTGCCTAAGCATCGCCATTTATATACGTTTTCCTTAGTGCTGACGGTGCAACAATAATATTCATTAGGTACCCAAAAGCTTTGCCATGCCAGGGTGATGTGGTGCTTTTAAGAGTGGTCATCATCACTAGCTCAGATGACATGACACTCACTACCACAAAGTTCTTTTCCGAGATGCATGCTGCTTTGCTAATGGCATCCGACTGAAGACCTCGCCATTGACTGACTGAAGAAAGTCTGAAAATGTAGAAAGAAAACTACGAGAGAGTTTAGTTTTGCAAAGAAGCCCTCAAAAGATGTCTGGAAAAAGATTCAAAATAAAATAAAAGAAAGGTGTTTGTAACGTAGCTGAGAAAAAGGCATAACCGTAGGCGTTGGAACGGAAAAGCGTGGCAAGCCATCATGTCGTCGTCGTCCCGGGCAGGATAGGGCGTGGTCGGCCAGCAGTTGCGAAACCCTAGTCGTCCGGCCGGTTGCGTGACGGCGACCGTGCACCCGTATGGCATCGCGCGCGGAGCTTTCTCCGGCGGAGAGCCCGCGATGGCGTCACAGGATCGTGGGCCTGGTCCTGATCCATGGGCTGCATGGGTACACCGGAATTTCGTGCCCGTCAAGCCGGGGCCCGCCGGAGAGAGCGACGCTGGATCCTCTGGAGCTACGGGAGAGATACAGGGCATCATTACGCGATAACAACGCATCATTAGTGAATGATGACTACATACTTACCGATCGGGTCGGGCTGGTCGGTCTTCCCAGTTGTGTCGAGTGATGGCCAGTCAGGACACGTTCCTAGCTAGTACTGGCTTGGCCTTGCACAGAGCCTGCACTCGAGTGAACGTACTCTAGCTGCTTGGCCCAATCCTGGCCGAGTGATTATTAGCAGGGAAAATTGGTCACATACCATCAAAAGAGTGTGATTTCTGTAAAATACCATTGAGGGTCTGTTTGGAACACATGAATTGAAAATATAGGAATAGAAAAAATACAAAAATAGAATGAATATGTAGTAGTAAAACAGATGAAAGAAAAAACGCAAGAAATAACTAAGAATGAGCGTTTGGAACGCAGGAATACATAGCACAGGAATCATAAGACTGTAAATGCTATAGTCATTAGTAGTGCTTAATGAAATGATAATATATACTGTATTAGCTGCTCGATTCTCTCTTCTCATTTGATTTTCCTCGGGCAAGCGCGAAGGAAAACGAAACCAGAGGTAAGAGCAGATGCTTTTTTTCCTGTGAAACCGTGTTGTTGCTACAGGCTTCCGGAGGAAAGGGTCCGCTCGTTCCCTTCGTTCCAAACGGTCTCCTCGTCTTCCTTTTCTCCGTTTTCTTTTCCTTCATTTTTCCTACAAAAAACCTTTGTTCCAAACAGGCCCTGAAAGATTTCGGTCTCATAAAATAGCACTGAAAATTACCACCGTGAACTGAAAATACCATTCCATCAATTTTTACACACAGGAGTGTTGATTTGACATAAACTCCAAAATTTTGGTGACCTTTTTGCCCTTGCCTTATCCTCATACGTGAAAGGGACTCAGGTACCTAGGAAAGGGTCGCATGCACGGGAGCAGCCGGAACATGCTCCGACTCTGCCGGCCGCCGAGCTCCGAAGGCCTCCTGTGCCGGCAGCCGCGGGTTGCTCCCTGCGCGCAGGCCTCTCCCCGCGTGGACGCTGCGCGATCCACCGCAGGGTGCTCCTTGCGCGGAGGCTGCGCCGCCCACGCCGTCCGTCGCAGGCCGTTCCTCGCGCCATGACTGCGGCGCCTCCCACCTCCTCCTCCTCCTCCTCGACTGCGTGCTACGCCCGGCCACGACTCCTCCTTCTCTAGTACGCATGTGGTGGAACAATGCATCGATCTGAGATCCCTGACGGGTAAGAATGAAACCCTAGCTATCTACTTGTTCATGGTTCGTAGCACAGCTGAAATTAGTTACAAATTGCGATTGTTTCTGTGTTATCCGGTTCATTTGTGTGTGCGATTTCACCTGGTATGACGATGGTCACCGATGAGAAAGGACATTTGGCAGCAATGTTAATTTTTTTTTGCACTGCTACTATTTCAGGATCGATCCAAACAATGCATGTCGAGTAGTAATTGATGTTTCTTCCTACTCAACCATTGAGGATGGTCGATCTGTGTACAAAAAGGGCAGATGCATGGACTGGTGGGTGGATGCAGAAGAGTACTCCGTCATTGATATGGAGAAAGATGTGTTCACGCACTTTAGTTGGGCTAGTTATCAGGAGGCAAACTTTTGGTTTGTGGGTCATAATAATCTAACAATTCATCTTGGTACGGACCAAGAGCTTCTAACTTTGCTGTGAGCCTAAAAAATGGTGGAGTTTATCATGACTGTAGATAGATGTGAGCATGTTGATATGGCTTTGATTGAGAATGAAGGACAAGTGACAGATGAAGAGAATGACCTACAACTTCAGGTCACAGAAAAGTTCAAGGAGATGCATGTGAGTGCAAAATTGGATGGTCTAGAATGGGCCATGGAACCTCAACTTGGTGTTATAGCTGCTGGTCCTTCTCGAGTAGAGGAGGAGGAGGAGGAAGGTGACCAATATATAGAGCCGGGTGTTGACCATGAGGGAGATGATCCGGTTGGAGTGGATGAAGAGTGGAGGTATTTCAGGAAGGTACCTGAAGTAGGAAGCAATGAGAAAGTGCAACAAGAAAAGAAGAAAACAGAGAGCAGCAAGAATGTAACTGAAGCTACAAATCTTGAGGCTGTGCCAAGTGATGAAGCCACCATGATGCGAGATGCTCCATATGTTTCACTCACTACATATGACAGAGACAACCCTGATATAAAGGAAGGTTCGACATTTACTGACAAAGTCCTTCATACTGATGATTAAGCAATATGCCATAAAAAGGGAGTTTCAAACATTTGTAGAGCATAGTGATAAATCAAGATATAGGGCAAGATGTGTAGATTCAGAGTGTGGATGAAAAGTTCATGCAAAGAAACTTCTTGGTAAACTAATTTTATGCTCCTATCACTTAGTACAATACCAATTCTTTCTGAGTATAATTGTTGATTACCTTGCTGTTATGTAGGAAAAGGAAAGAAAAACCAAGTACTTCAAACTCCACCAAAGCTCCTAAGAAATCTAAGAAGGCATCTGCAGCAGCCTCTACTTCCTTAGTCACACAAACACCGGTTAGTCCAGGGCCAACAACGAGGTTGATGGCAGCTTCTACTTCTAGTCCTCTCAGTCCAGGGCCTACAACAAGGAGTAGGGCAGCAGAGAAACATCACCAGGAGGTATTGCGAGGCGACTTATCATAGGCTAGGATTGGATTTGTAAGAGCAAAGCCTATGTGTGGTGCCACTGTTATTTTTCTAGCTAGTGTTGGTGTTATTAGACCTTTCTGTGATGGCAGACTTATTAAGTGTTGGGTGCATGTTTTAAACTATGGAGTGTTTCCATGAATGTAATGTGCTGCAATGACAGTTCTAATGTGCTAGAATGGTTGTCCTTGTGTGAAAGGATCAAGATGCCCAAGAGGGGGGGGGTGAATTGGGCTAATTCTAAAATTCTTTGCAATAATTAAACCCTACACTTAGCCCACTTCACCCCTTGTGCCTAGAATGTTATTCTAATGATCTACCGCATAAAAGTTTAGTACCCTAAGTTCCAATCCTACTCTAGCATGGCAATTCTAAGAATGTAAAGACAAGAATTGAATTGCTCAGAGTAAATGTTCAAAGTAAAGAGAGGAGAAGGAACGCGGTGATGTTTTGCCGAGGTATCAGAGAGTCGCCACTCCCCACTAGTCCTCGTTGGAGCACCCGCGCAAGGGTGTAACTCCCCCTTGATACGCGCAAGGATCAAGTGCTCTCTACGGGTTGATTCTTCGACACTCCGTCGCGGTGAATCACCCACAACCGCTCACAACTTGAGTTGGGTCATCCACAAGCTCCACCGGATGATCACCAAACTCCCGATCACCACCAAGCCATCTAGGTGATGGCGATCACCAAGAGTAACAAGCACGAACTCTCACTTGGCCACAACAAGCCTAATGAGAAGGGTGGATGCACACTTGCTACTCTCCTTGCACTAATGAGGCCTTAATCTTGGATTCTCAAATCTCAATCACCTCACTAGGCTCTTACTCTCCAAAGCACTCTCAAGGGTGTTTCTCAGCTGATCAAATGGGCAAGAGACCTCCCTTGGATGAATAGAGGAAGTATTTATATTCCCTCATTCAAAACGATCCGTTAGGAGGTTGAAGCTGAAGCGAAGCGATCTGGGTTAGGAGGTTATTTATATCCTCTATCGCTAGAAGTGAAGCTGAAGCGATCTGGGTTGGATCTAGGACTGGTGTGGCATGTGACTCTGCAGGTATCACTAAAGCAGGCGGCTCTGATGATGCAACAGATGAAGGGAGCGTCTCTGTAGTCCTAGTGACTAGAGCAACGGTGGTAGGTACAGGGACATGTTGCTCTGGAGGTGTAGGCTACCCTATCAACTCACTGAAAGTAGCACCAAGGCGCTGGAACTAGGGTGTTAGTCACAAACACTGAGGAGCTCTGAGCTAGTGTGAAGCCCGTGATAATAGGTGTGAAGGAAGGACCATGGGCTGGCACTAGAGAAGCAAACCACTAGGACACCTGCTCTGTCAGTGAAGCAAACTATGTCGCTGGCTGTCCCTGACTCTGAAGCCCACTGGGCTATAAAGCTAAAGTCGCTGTAGTGGTGATAGGCTGGCCAAGCTGAGGTGTAAGCTATGGCAGTGCAGACCCAATAGCAATAACGACATGCTGCATGAACTCGAGTAACTGCTGTTGGATAAGGAGCTGCTGCTGCTTTGCATGGCTCGCTCATCGCATCTTGTATGGCTCGCCATCGTCATTGGAACTCAAATCTGTCGCTGAACTGTGCAAGGGCAGCTACGGTCAACTGGGCCTAGTGAGCCTGATCCTGCCTCATCCGCTCAAGAATAGCAAGAAGAGCGGGGTCTATCTATGGTGGCGTGGTGGAGCTAAGCTGGAGCCACCGGCCTCACTGTCATGTCATCGAGGAGGCATCTGAGGGATAGCCTAGTAATCATCATCTAAACTGTCGCTGGGGTCGCTCTCGACCATACCCTCCTGCTAAGCATCTAGCTGCTGCTCCTCTATCGCTGCAACACCCCTGATGATCTCATCTGCTGGGCTGCAGTCTCTGGCACCTTTAGGCGATGACACGGCTAGCTAGGTGTCCTCGCTGCACTGTGGCGGAGCATTTGGGTCATGTTATATGGTGGTAACTCTATAGTAGCTCTGTGTACTCAGCCATAATCTCTGGGGACTTCACTGTAACTGCCTTGCAAATCAAGAATGTAATATAGTGAGCATAAGGCAGCTAACGATGGCCTCTGAACCCCTCTGCAAGAGTGTCCTCCATCTCTGATAGAATAACATCCCAAATGTCAAATACTGTCTGCTGAATCAGTGGAGTTCACTAACCATAGCTGAATACGAGTCAATCCTTTGCGATAACCCATCCTCGGAAGCAAGGTCCTCCTCATGATAGCATCAAGTAGCCTCGCTATAGGACTAAGATCTCTCGGTGTCCTGCTCGACCCCTCGCCAAAAGGCTCTATGAAGCAGGGTCATACCAAGTCTGTGGGAGGCACAAGACCGTTGTGAGGGCGTCTGGGAGGCTCTGTCTGACCGTAGCACACCTCATGCAGGCGAATGGGTGCCTCTAGAATCCTGAGGATCTCTCTGACCTTGAAGCTCATCAACCTATAGTCACGGCCTCTGAATGCAAAGTGAATGAATATGTGGCCCGGGTGAATCCAAAGTGAAGCATAGAACTCATGGACCCATGATGGAACATATCTCCCGTCCATCCAAGTAAGTCTGTCAGCCCTGGTAGATAAGATAGGTGAGGGTGGATCTGCTCTCCTGCTGCTACAATAACTGACTCAATGGAGCAAACCCTCTGAGATCTAAATGTCACACCATTGTTCAGATAAGCATTGTAGAAGTCCTCCTACAGTGGTGTATAGAACCCCTCTGAAGCACGCTCATCCTACCTCGGCGGAAACCAATCCTCGAAATGCATGAACCTGAGCTGCTGCACCTACTTGGCTGTGGCTGCCCTCAGACCAAGGTGTGTCACTGGAGGCGGACCCTGTGGTCTAGGAGGTGAACGAGAACCCCTCCGCTGTGTCTCTAGCCTCGGTGTCACCTAAGCATGAGTACGACTAAAGCGTCGTAACAGTGGCTGAGGTGCCTGCTCTGTCTCCTCGGCCAGCTCTACCTCCTGAGACTGCTCTGCTGGATGAGTCTACTGCTGTGGCTCCCCTTGAGGCTGACTCTCCTCTAAAGCAACCCACCGTCCTTCAAGCATGATAGTACCAGCTAGACTACCATGATGACGCTCAACCTGCTCAACGGTGGTCCTCTGAGCTGGTGAAAGCTGGTCTGCAATGCAAACACCACTCCAAGCCCCTCCTCTCTCTACACGCTCTGCGGCGGCTGCAACTGCTGCTGCTCTCTCAGTATCAGCATCTGCAAGCTTGCGCTTCTTTGTCATCAGCTTCTTTGCCTTGCCTTTCACCTTAGCAGACAAATGAGGTGGAGGCCTCGGATCCTCATCACCTAGACCACCTCCGGCGTTCTTGACACGTGCCATTGCTGGAGCTAAAAAGAACAACTGCCACTAACAAGAATCAACTGCTAATTGTCACTTCCGAGGCTTGGCCTCGATCCGTACTCGTGGGCTTGGCCCCGAGTTGACTGATAACTGCCAAAGTGACCTCAAAAACATAGAATCACTGCACGATAGAATAGATCGGATATATGAATAAATACAATATACATCTAGAGACATAAAACCCTAAGAAGCAAGCAATAGGTATGAAATTAGAGGCGATGACTTGTTACCTGATGAACCGACGAACCGAAGAGCAGAGGAATGAATCGCGGGGAACCACCGGGAATCATCTAGAGTTAGGGTTTGGTGAGGCAATGCGGCGCTGGATGGGCAGCTGGGGCTCCGGTCGTGGAGATATAGGCGCTGAGGAGTAGGCGGCGACAAGGCACAAGCACGCGGCACTTGCAGGTGGCTCGGGCGTGGTGGCGGCGGCGCGCCGCTGGCGGTGCTTGGTGGTGCTCTTTGCAGTCTGCGGGCACATGGGTGAAGGTGCGTGGCGTGATGGCGAGGCTGAGCGAGTAGGCAGGCCTTGATGAAGCAGTAGACGGCGGAGAGGGCGCGGTGTGGATGCGGCGAGGAAGATGCGGCGTGGGCGAGGACGATGAACTCAGCGCTGGTGGTTGCGGTGGATGCGGGATAGGTCAAACACCGGCGCAGTTATATGGTGGCCCCATGTGAAGGATAAGGAAAGGAGAAAGAGTTAGAGACCCACATGACTTCTACTGACCGGATGCTCCGGTGGCAACGACCGGACGCTGCCACCCGAAGTCCGGTCGATAACAGAGAGGTCCAAAACCTCCCAAGTCGCGATCGGACGCGTCTGGTTAACCCTGACCGGACGCAGCCAGAGTTCGGTCCACACTATGTTCATCTTCTTTGATCAACCGGATGTAGGACCACCGTCTAACCGGACGCAGGAAGAATACTATTTCAGCCTCCGATCACTCCTTTGCGCTTTAGTTCACCTCCTGTGAATTGACTGGACGCTGGACTCCAGAGTCCGGTGCAGCGTCCGATCACTCTTTTTCAGCAAGTCTTCAATGTTCCTTCGCGCTTCCTGTTTCCAATCAAGTCCCAACTTCAATAAGACCCAAATAAACACCAATTGGGACTGATATGAGTGACCTCTCTCAAACCCTCAAATTTCTCAAAGTATTTTGCTTTAGGCTATAATTCTTTTTAAGAAAATAGGCAATAAAAAA